ATTGTTATTTGGGACTCCATTGATAACTTATCCTTATTGGACAATTTAGTAATATTAACATTTTTAAAAAACTTATTTGCATTATTGTCGTCAACTTTTGCGTTACTTTTAGAATACAGATTTTTATAAAAGTCTAAAATGTTTCTCTGAACAGTTGAAAAATCTTTAACTATATCACCCTTTGAATTTTTAAGTTGTGTTATACTGTTTTTTGCAGCATTTTTCTTTTCAAGTTGCAAGAAATATTTTGTGGCTTTTTCGCCTTCGATAAAATTTTGCGATCTTGATCGAATCAGTTCTCCCTGTGTAATATATTCAAATATATTTTCAAGTTCTAATTGACATTTGTAAAATTCATCTTTAATGACTATATCATTGGGGCTGTTATCAAGTTGCTCTTGTAATTTTATCAGTTTATTTTCAAGATCTTGTCTACATTTTCTTCTAGCTTTTGCTTTTTGTTTAGAAAATTTAATTGAAAACTCTCTAATTTTATATTTTATGAAGTCCCAAACAACTCGTTTATCTTTGAGATCTTTTGACTCATTTGACCATATTTCAATGTTTTGAATTAATTCGGATTCAAAATCTTTATCTTTTGATAGGCTGTTATTATATCTCCAATGACTTGGACCTCTTTTAATATGAAGATTATTTAAACTAAGAGTTATTGGAGAGTGGTCAGAAAGAATACCAGTGTCAATATCCACCTTTTCAATATCATTTTGAAGGTCGTCCGAACATAACCATATATCCAGTCTACTCATTATTGCTAGTTTTTTTTGTCGCCATGTAAATCTTTTTACGTCTGGATTACGAACCCTATAAATATCAATTAAATCTAAATTCAATTTGAACTCATTAAAAAAGTCTATTACAGGTTTGTTTACTTTATGATTCCCGCCCTTTCTGTCAAGATTTTCGTCAAATATAACATTAAAGTCTCCTCCTAATATTAAACGTGTATTTTCTCGTGTCAGGTTTTCAATCTTTTGGGCTATATTAGTCCAAAAGGGTAATTTCTCTTGATCAATTGTCGGCCCGTAAATGTTTGTCAAAATAAAACGTTCATTTTGAATCGTAATGTCTAGTATAATATATCTACCGTGTCTATCACATATCTGATCATTAATTTTTACATCAAGTGAATCCTTAATAAGTATCATTACACCTCTACTATTAGACGTACCATGTGAAAAAATAATGTTACCATTCCACCTGTTTCTAAAATCAGTTTCTAATTCATGAGTAGTGTGTGTTTCCTGTAGAAATGTAATATCTTTGTTTTTACTTTTGACCCAATTCAAAATTTTATCTTTCTTTGATTGCCCTAGACCCCGGACGTTGAAAGATAACATATTAAAATTCATTATGGCTCTAGAATCCATTACCCATGTTTTTCAAAATATCAGCAGCCTCAGTGTGGCAAGTAAGATGTTGACATATATTGCTATCTAAAATACCAGATGAAAACATATACAAATTATATCCTAAAATAACATTCAAAACACCACTCATTATACGTATCACACTCTCATACATTCCCACCATACATACATATAAAATACACACAATAATTTTAAAAGGATCCATCAACTTCTTTTAAGTTGAAATATATCGTTGATGTATCCTTTTTTAATCAATTCAGTCCACCAAAGCCAGCTCCTTTTTACTCAGCCTTTGTCTTGTCCCCCATTAGCCTTAAGAACAATTGGAATTTTACTAATGTCTGTATGTCTGTATGTCCTGTTATCGATGTGTAGCACATCTGCTATCATGAACGATTTCTTATTCATGTTCCTTGCTTCTTTCATATATGGATATAACTTTTTTCTTCTCATATTCACTTCTTTGCAGAAACTCTCATCCATTCTATATGCTGATCCTTTACATTTTCTCCTTGCATCCCACACTCTCTGTCTGTCTTTAAACCAATGGAATTTGGCTGTTATAGCTCTGCTCTTTTGTTTGGTTCTCTCATTGGGTTTACCGGGTGGCACTCTATGTACTCTTTCGAATTTAATCTCAGTTGTGTCGATTTCAAGCTGTCTACTTATCATCTCCTTAACTTTCTCCTCACAATTCTCCTCATCAGACTCATCTATGTTGTAGAAATGTATGCTATCTCTTCTTGAGTAGGTGTCGTGGTGTAAAACTTTATCTGTCAGATCATCATACGCTGTTTTTGCTCTGCCAAGTTCATTATGTAGATCATTCACTTCCTTTTCCAGACATTTTATCTGTCTTTCATTTTTCTCTGCGGCTTCAGTTGCTTTCTGCGCTTTTGAGTCGACAAAATTTATTGACTTGTTAATTTCGTCCACTTTATTTTCAAGAGTATTCATGATTTCGGCTTTGTTGTTTTTCATGGTTTTTAGGACGTCCTCCACACATGTTTCGACTGTTTCCTTCATTATTGGAGTTATTGCTTTAACAATTATTTCAGTCATGGTTGTAACAAAATTCTGGTCTTGCAACAGATCCTCCCCTGTTATTTTTGTTTTTGGTGGCATTATGAGTATTCAGTCTTAGCGGTCAAAAATATGTATTAAATCGAATAGACAATTAATATCCAATAAAATCGTAGCTTAAATGAAACGCACAAATGGTTTGAAGTTTAGTGTCACTGCTTGAATATAGTGTTCGATTTTCGGCACTGATATTGGATGTATTGCAAGTGTCACTGAATTCGAGTAAACAAAGTCGTTGCTTGAACACGGCGTTCGAATTTCGGCACTTAGATGTACTGCTGACGTCGCTCAATTTGAATAAACATCATCAGTAGTTTCACTGTTTGAACATTGCGTTCGATTTTCGGCACTCAGATGTATTCCTTGCGTCGCTCAGTTCAAATGAAACAGTAGTGAGTAGTGTAACTGCTTAAATATGGTATTCGATTTCGGCAACTATTATCGATTTACGGCAGTTGTCGTGAACTGAGTGGACAGCTTAGTGGTCAGTTTATGGTTAGTGGCACTACTTATATGTATTGCAAGCGTTGCTTAATTCGAATAAACAGCTTCAATAATAAACAGTGATCAAGTTCAAGGTCATTAAAATTGATACGAACGGTTGGCCACCTGAAACATTTATACTTTACATGCAAGTCAACAAAAGAACACAAAGATTTTGTTTAAATTTACCAAAGAGTGACAAAAAAGTTAATTTTATCTCATCACATAGAATTCCTGAAGTTTTTTGTGAGTAAACTTCTAAATGTGATCAATTTGTTTATGCAAGACTTTGCTCTTTTTCATTTGAACAAGAACTCAGACATGATAGTTTGTATAAATGAATAAAGATGTGGGATGGGAGCCATACATGACCTATGCCCTCTTTGATTTTTATCATTTATTTTCAAAGTGCTGTGTTGTTCAAAGTGACAGGATTCATAAGACCTGGGATTTTGAGGAAAATATCTGGATGTTCAGATTTTGTGTAAATTTTGAATTTGGCCCTGCTTTTTCAATTTTCAAGTGATCTCTTGAGCCTTTTATATAAGGACTAGTCTCAGGATGAGGAAATTCCACCTTAGAAAGTAAGGGAACCTAGCTTCTTAAGAAAAAATATGATAGGCCTGCAATTATAGACTAAGATCATCTTTCTGTTTCTTTTCTGTTTCTTTTCTCAATTCGCAAATTACTTCTCTGAACATGGTTGTTAAGAAAGCCTTTTGGTCTTGATACACTGAATGAAAATGTCTACTTTCTGAATAAGGCAAAATGATAGACTAAACAATCAGGATGAACAAAATAACATCTTAGATTAACATCCTAATCTTAAAGATATCATGGTTACCTAATCTTTCTAGGAAAAATGTAATAGGCTGAGCTTTCTGATCTGTGATAAGATACAGTAGCACCTGTGTAAGTGGAACACCCTTGGGACCACAAAAAAGTGTTCTTCTTGTGAGCTGTTCTGCTTACAGAGGTTCATTAATGCGTATCTCACATACGCTCTTATTCATCGGCTGATATATACGCACGATTTGGTATTTTGTTCAGAATTGCATTCATTTTTTAACAAAATACTCAATCGTATGGGCGCCAGCCGATGTTCAATTTAGGTTTTCCACTTCTACTGCTTAGAGGTTATTGAAGATTGTACGATGAGAAAATGTCCATTAGAATAAAAAAAGAAGTCAATACAGTAAAACCTGTCTTAGTGAACACCTCTCTCTAGTGAACACCTGTCTCTAGTGGACACCCTTCCTACGCACATAGTCCACTGACTTCTGTATAAATTACCCTCTCTCTAGTGAACACCTACCTACAGTGAACGTTTTTTCTTGGCAAAAAAATGTTCACTATACACAAGTTTTACTGTACTTTTTCAATTTCTGGAAAATCAAAAAAACCATCATCATCATGAATTCAGTTTGACCAACAAATATTTGACCTCTTAAATTTTGATGCTTCTCTTGCATGTTATTTTGAAAAGAATTATAATGACTAAAACTCAAATAAAGAGAGGCCATATGATTAAAACTGACCCAATCTGAAATAAACAAGTTTTGTTCATCTTAAAGTATTTAAATGTTTTTCCATATGATATTGGACATTTTCCAAAGCTTTTTTATTTAAGTTTGATGAACTTAAATTTTCATTGCCACATGCAATAATTCAACATGTCTCTATCTAATTCAAAAATTTGTGTATTTATCACTAGCTCAGTACTTAAGTAGCAGATATTAAGGAATAAGTTCAAAATTTCCTGTTTGGTGCAAAATTTTATAGCTAATATATCGATAATGCTAAATGAGTGTTTTGAGGAGTGATATCAACTTGAATATCAAAAGAAGCTGCTCTCCTCTGGTTGGTTTAATTTACATAAGAAATCTTGACAATCAGGAATTCTGCAAGGCTTTTGATGGCTGGAAATGTACTTGCTATAACATTTTGGTGAGGCTATTGGTGAGGCAGTGCCTCAATTGCCTCATGACAGGCTATAGCCCTATTTATGTTTATTATTCAATCATAACAGTTAAACATTTTTTTTAGTGGGACATTGTACGACAGAAGGCGGAGCTCTTGGCAGTCAGCAAATTCCGCTCAGTTACAACTGGCAACTGGGACACATTGGACGATCTTAGGAATATATATGGGGACCCCATGCCTGAACCTGTGGTATGTATTTCATCCACTCACTCTGTTTCTCAGCATCAGATTGTGTCTTATCTTGCTTTAATTCCTTAAAAATTCTTGTGATTATTTATAAATTTTCCATCTATTCATAATGATCTCACCGATACTAAAAAATATAAATTGTTGTTTTTTTGTATTAATAATGGATACCTTTCCTTGCCTTATTGTTTTGTCTACTGTAGAACATTTTTATTTGTTACCATAGCAATTATTAATATTAACATATTCTTATAACTTAATTACACTATTCACCACTTAAGACGGTAAGAGTTTTGCATCATTTTATCACAAAACTAAATCTAAATATTTGTCCGAATCCTAATTGCTTTTAGAAAATCATATTTTTTATTCAAAAAAGTTTTTATTTGTCGAGAAAGCATGTTTTTTATCAAGCGAATAATACTTACATATACTGGAATGAATTGCATGTCATTTTTATCATTTATTCACCAACTTTTTGTTAATACTTTGCACAATTTATGACATACTGTAGTTGCAAATTTGCTATGTTCCACATCATTGTCCCCAGGATTTTCAGGGGGAGTGTGTCAACATCTAAAAAATGAAAATTCTTTATCATAGCTTTGCAATTGAAGCCCACTCTCCATTTCTTTTGCCAGAGCACATAATAAATTAGCTTCAAAAGGGAGGTGTGTTCACACCAAACACCCCCCCCCCTGCAGATACCCATGAATAGTAGTTTAGACATGTTAATTATCCCATCGAACGAAGTTCGGAGGGATATAGGGAACGCCTCCGTCCGTCCGTCCGTCCGTCCGTCCGTCCGTACGTACGTCCGTACGTACGTCCGTCTGTCCGTCCGTCCGTCCGTCCGGGCAATAACTCAAATACCGTTGGCCCGATTTTGATCATATTTTGTACACATATACCCTATGGGGCTAGAAGTTCTGCTCGAAAGCCGATTTTCAAAATGGCCGCTCATTTCAAAATGGCGGCCATTTTAGTGTCGATTTTACAGTAATTTAGGTGCAATATGTAAAACTGTAATAGCAATATGTTTTAAATGTAAAAAAATTATAAAGGACATTAATAAAGCTACAAATGTAGATATTAAAGAAGCACATGGCAGCCATCTTGAAAAATGGCGGCCTTTACTCGTTATTTTACGATTTTTACTGTAACTCGAAAAGTAGTGGAGCGATTTTGTTCATATTTGGTATGTGAATACTATAAGCATTGGACACTGTCTAAAGACAATTTTGGTAGAAGGCGGCCATTTTGAAAAATGGACGCCATTTTAACGTATTTTACTATAACTCGAAAAGTAGTGGAGCGATTTTGTTCATATTTGGTATGTGAATACTATAAGCATGGCACACTGTCCTATGACACTTTTGGTAGAAGGCGGCCATTTTGAAAAAAAATTTGAAAAATGGCCACTTATTTTAACATATTTTACTATATCTCGAAAAGTAGTGAAGCGATTTTGTTCATATTTGGTATGTGAATACTATAAGCATGACACACTGTCCAATGACACTTTTGGTAGAAGGTGGCCATTTTGAAAAATGGCCGCCATTTTAAGGTATTTTACTATAACTCGAAAAGGAGTGGAGCGATTTTGTTTATATTTGGTATGTGAATACTAAAAGCATGGTACACTGTCTAATGACACTTTTGGTAGAAGGTGGCCATTTTGAAAAATGGCCCCATTTTAACGTAATTCACTATAACTTTAAAAGTAGTGGAGCGATTTTGTTCATATTTGGTATGTTTCATATTTTATATGTGAATACTATAAGCATGGCACACTGTCTAATGACACTTTGGGTAGTAGGCGGCCATTTTGAAAAATGGCCACCATTTTTACGTTTTTTACTATAACTTGAAAAGTAGTGAAGCGATTTTGTTCATATTTGATATGTGAATACTTATGAGCCTTGCATACTGTCTCATGACACTTCAGATAGTAGGTGGCCATTTTAAAAAATGGCTCTCATTTTTTACTATAACTCGAAAAGAAGTGGAGCGATTTTGTTCATGTTTGATATGTGAATACTTTAAGCATGGCACATTGGCTCATAAATCTTTGGGGAGTAGTCGGCCATTTTGAAAAATGGCCACCATTTTTATGTGTGTTATTTTACAAGTACATTTGTGTGATTTTTCAAAAATTTTATAGGTGGCTACTTAAAAGCATATTATTTCTTCTGATGACAACTTGGCTAGTGAGCAACCATTTTGAAAATGGTGGCCTTTCTGGTGTGTTGTTTTATGATAATTGCTATATATTTCGTTTGTAAAAATGCCAGTCATTTCTGTTCGATGGGATTCGCTACGCTTTGGCGTTGCCGTTGTTCTGGTTGTATCTTGTGCCTCTCATTAACTTTTTTCAGTTTGACTTATTGCATGTAAGGCATGGAGACATTGTTTTTTCTGTAACCAAAATGTATCACTGTTGTAACTTACCAAGTGCTGGTATTTCGTCATCTACATGTCAATAACTCGTTATAATTCAGAACCTCTGTATGTTTGAAATCTGATAAGTTTACAAATGACATATAAGTTGAAAAAAAAAATTAATGGACGATTTGAAACACTAATGACTTTTTAATGTCCAAATAAGCTTTCTTGCAAATTTACTAGGAGATGCTAATGCCAGCCAAGGTTAGGAGAAAAGCTTTCAGTTGAGCTCATGTTTACATTTCCGCATATCTTTTTCATTTTATGCAAATTTTCCATAAGAAATAATTCTAAAATATATACATATATATTTCTGATTTCATAAAGGTATCAATAAAATCTTTTGTTAAATATTTTATTTTGATGAGATGTTTTGAATAACAGAAATATATTCCTCACAAACGTCCTTATCTTATTTAAAACAACATGTAATTTTGTAATAATATTGCTTATAATTTTTAGTTTTTCACCATAGAGAGTTGCTATGCACATACACAGGTTTAACTGTACACCATGTATTGACAGTATTATGTACCAAAGTCATCAAGAAAAAAGTTTCTTATCGTATTACAAGGGTCTATCAAAAAGTGTCTTCCTGTTGTTTCTAGATTTTATAATATCTTAGAGAAGTTGGATGCTCAAACTTTAACACGAGACAGAATTATTCATTTGTCTCTTTTTTGATCTATCCTGGGCTTATTTTTGCTTTAGATTCGATAATGAGTTATTTTTACCATAGGGCATCATGAAGTACGCTAACGACCTTTGCTTTGGCAACCAGAGAGTGGCAGGATGTAATCCAAATACCATTAGACTTTGTACAGAACTTCCCGACAAGTAAGAATATTTCGTTTTTATGTCTCCACCAGAATTGGTGTGGTGACATATTGTTATAGTCTCCAACTTTTTGTAGAATGCTTTCGGCAGTAAGTGTTTAGCATTTGGCGGTTGGTGTCTGTAACAAATGGCAGGTTGTGACATTTTGTATGTTAATGCCTTGTTGTTGTTTTGGTAGCTTGAAGCCTAAAGCCAAGTAATGCCAAATTATTTCGTAAGCTAGAGAACAGAGAATGAAAACACTCAATTACTTGTCATTTTAATCTGTTTGCCTCATTAATTGTTTACTTCATCTTTATTGATTGTTTACCATTTTCCCATTGAATGTTAACCACTTCCTCATTGTACATGTATATCATTTCTTCATTCCTTGTTTACCACTATCATTGATTGTTTTTCACTTCTTTATTGATTGTTTACCACTTCTTCATTGATTGTTTACCCCTTCTTTGTTAATTGTTTACCAATTTTCCATTCATTATCTACCACTTTCATACTGATTATTTACAGTATAATGTTGTTTGTTTCAGCATGGCCGTGACACCAGAAATATTACGTCCATTTTTGGAAGGTTGGCCCTTACCGCAGATCATTGAAGCTAAAAGATTGTTCATAGTGGACTACAAAATACTACAGGATCTCCCTACTGTGAATAACAACCCAGTGAGTGATGATATATGAAACAAATATTTCATTAAAGTATATACGAGGATGTGTTCCACTTATAGAAATTCATTTAACATTTAGTCAGTTGGTCTTGGGATTCTGAAAAGTGTTCTAATAACAGAGGTGTTCTACTTGGCAGGTTTTCCATTATATTCATATATATTGTCTTCCTTGTGTAAATTACTTGGTGGCTAGCCAATTTTAAATTTTTTTTCATATTTATTTGCTATAATTCTGTTTTTATAACATATGCTGTATCACTATTTACATAATAATAATAAAAAAGTAATATTGGATAACATTAAGAAACGCTACGTATGTATATTTTGTGTTTCTGTTTCTGTTTGGGATGAATTTAAAATTGAAGATAATGCACTAATGCAAAATTTTGAATTTTTAATGAAAAAGGTGAGATTTAAACCTTGTTTCTATTTGTAGTTGTGCCATCCAATCGCATTGTTCTTCCTGACTGGAGAGAAAGAACTGTTGCCAATAGCGATACAACTAAAACAAAAGATGGGTGCAGATAACCCTGTAAGTCCCATTTACATATCATATTCAGTAAATAACTTTTTATTCACTGGGAGGCATTGATTATGGGATTGAGTGCTAATTTTAACCATGGGCGTAGCGCCCGGTATGCTGGGTACGCACAGGCGTACCAGATGGTTGCAAATTCGCTCCAAATACAACCAAATTTCAAAATTTTCCTGGGGGAGAACCCCCAGATCCCCCTGAATGCTCGATTTTTGATTCACTCAACTCTTGTTCCCGTGGTGGTGGCGTACTTCTTAAAAAAATAGCGCTACGCCCATGTTAACCAATGTACAGAATTGTATGCCATAATTTGAACCATGAGGATTAGTTTACAATAAATGCTGTTGTAAGACCGCAAAATTAAGATGAGGAAAGAACAAGATCCTCTTTAGATTTGTAAGAAATAATCTTCTTATGAATTTATATGAGGGGTGTTCATAAAGTTCTTATAATATCTCTAATCTACTCTTATAGGTATTCTTCCCAAATGATCCACCATTCACATGGCTTATGGCAAAAATGTGGTTCAATAATGCAGACGCCCAATATCACCAGGCCATATGTCATTTAGGTAAGTCTTGATTAAAACTATCTGAATGGTTGTGTTTTAAAATGAAAAATAGAATGGAAAAGAGTGGAATCAGCAAGGAATAAAGTAAACAGGCATGTAGTTAACACTCTAAATTGTATAGAAATGCAAGAAAATCAGACACTTCATTCAAATTTTAGAGAGAAATGAGAGGAATCAGCAAGGAATAAAGTAAACAGGCATGTAGTTAACACTCTAAATTGTGTAGAATTGTTAGGAATATAGACAGTTCATTCAAATTTTAGAGAGAAAAGGGTGTTACAAGAGAAATTCAGACAAATATTGATTGAAGATGTATATCTCATTGTTCACTTCCTTTCCATGTTTTAATATCAAAAAAGTGGAATTAATTTAGATAATTAATAAAAACCTAAATTAATATTGAGATTGTGTTTCTTTAATAGATTTAACAATTTGTTTCTTGCGTTGAATATTAAATTATTAATCACTCACTAACTTTTTCAGGATACACTCGAATGTTACCAGAATCAATCGCCATAGCAACCAAGGCAAACTTAGCCCTTAAACATCCCATTTTTAAACTTCTTGCCCCTCATTTAGAAAACTACCTCCCTTGCAACTGGTGAGTCAGCTGGAGGTGCTAGGGACCCATAATTTAATTCCTTGCCCATAATGCATTGCTTGTATAGTTAGAAGCAGACGGTTTTATATTTCATAGAATTTCTCCCTTTACTATGCTTGTGATTACAATGATGCCACATGATTGTGTCCTATGACACAACCAATATCATGATGAAATATCATATGATATTAAATAATGTAAGCACAAATTATTTTTGTTTTATTCTCCAGCCAATTCCATTGATATTTTTGGAAGTTGGGAAATAGAACCTTCTGCTCTCTTAATTAAGCATAATATAAGATGACTAATTACTGTACTTTGCCCTAAGAAGGGATGAAGTAGTATAAGTCTGACCCTTCATTACCCCTTGATTTATCCCATGACACGGGTTTCCATCCTTCTGTTGCTCCATGGTACATTTTATAGTCCTCTTTCAAGACTGTGTCCATTACCACCTACCACTACCTGGACCTTCATTGATTTAAAAATGCTTTCTGATCTAATTGATCTGATGTTTATCCTTAAGGTCCTGCAAAATTTGTATATGAGTGAAATAAGTATACAAAATATTATTCCATCCCACTTTCCTCTCTCCCCCCACCTCTTATTGCACAGAGATCTCGGTTGTAAAAACAATGTTTGGTCTGCATGTATACTGTTGATGTGTTTTTTTGTGTGTCTTTGTGTGTCTGAGCTGACCTGTCCCTACACTCTATTTCCCAAGTTTTGGCCTGATCCTAAAAAAACATTGCAATACCTGTATTACAAGAAAACTAAAGCAAAATTGTAAGACTTTGCCGCTTCTATGTTACAGTACCCACGGTTGCGTTATAATGTAATTAAAATGGGTATTTCACGACTCTCCCTAAAATTATGTTTTGAGTTCCTTGTTTCAAGAAGAACCACATGCTATAAATAAATTAAAATACACAATTTTAGATAAAAGATATTGTAATTTGAATTGTTGTAATTTTAGGTGCTACACATTTACTCGCAGAAGGATTTGCCATAGCTACACACCGTCACATGTCCCCCTCCCATCCCATGTTTAAGCTGCTTGCCCCTCACTTTTACTATCTAATAGCAATCAATTGGTGAGTGGTCTGCTAAGGGTTAATTCATTAATACGATTTCCATTTCTTTAATTCTTTGTCAGTCTGATGTCAAATATAATAGAAAAAATTTTCATTTGCCTGGCAGGAAACAATTTGGTAATAAAATTACCATAATGTTTACCTCCAGACAAAAATTGGTCCTTTACATAGTTTTGCAAGCTGTCATGTGTGAGTCACATGACCACAAGGTCATGGCCTTTATGACATCAGCGAATCAGCAAGGAATGCTGGGAGTCAATCCTCCTTTATTATTCTCTTCTAAAATGTATGCTTTTAAAAAATAGTAAACCATGATTAAAAACCATTATATTAATCCAGACTGCCGAGAGTTAATTGCATGTGTTGAATGAGTTTGAATGAATTATATTCAATCATAGATTAATTGATTTTAACATCACTGTGTGTTGCTACATTAATTTGCATGCAAATTAAATTCATTTGTAAACATGATAATTAAACCTGATAAAATAAGGGATTCATTTTTATGTATTGAATGAACAATTCAAGAGAAATACATTCCATTATAATATTCATGGCTACCTTGATTTTTTAATTTATTGCCTTCCTTTTTGAAGAGGATTTGAAGAGGTTGAGTTATGAAATAAAGGATCTCACTGAAATCTGGTTGATTTCACAATGCATGTTTGTATTTTATAATCACTATTTTTGAACATCCAATTTTTTTTATTCATTTGAATGATGTACCCACAGTCCTTTAGTTGAAATTAATAAAATAGTTAAGTTAAGAAATAAGTGCATTCTATTTATTTATACTTGGGCCATATAAGTCTGTATGTGTTTAACATCCCCTTGCTCATGTGAATCTGTCTCTCAACATGATGTTAAACATATAACTAACTTTGAAGGCATTAGATAAGATAGGCTTGCTATAAAAATTGTTGCATTACAAATCAACAATGCAATGCTATTCTGTAGAATTTTTGTACTTGCTCTTAATGCATGAAAAGTTCACTTAGTTTACTCTAATTGTTTCTCCTTCAAACTTCTTTATGTAGTCTAAAATAAAATCTTGATAACCACAATGGCTGTGAATGTTGCTTAACATCACATTTTGATTTGAAAAAGTGCTTTAACAATTATTTATTGTCGGAATTTCATTTATTTTCTAAAATCTCAATCTCCAAACTCAGGACTTCATGTTTGTTCTGACTTCATTCTTTGTTTTGTTCTTAAGAATGTTAAATGCATTTTAGATTTGGAAGAGTCAATATTAGATATATACAGCTGCATTTTAGATTTGGAAGAGTCAATATTAGATATATACAGCTGCATTTTAGATTTGGAAGAGTCAATATTAGATATATACAGATGCATTTTAGATTTGGAAGAGTCAATATTAGATATATACAGATGCATTTTAGATTTGGAAGAGTCAATATTAGATATATACAGCTGCATTTTAGATTTGGAAGAGTCAATATTAGATATATACAGCTGCATTTTAGATTTGGAAGAGTCAATATTAGATATATACAGATGCATTTTAGATTTGGAAGAGTCAATATTAGATATATACAGCTGCATTTTAGATTTGGAAGAGTCAATATTAGATATATACAGATGCATTTTGGATTTGGAAGAGTCAATATTAGATATATACAGCTGCATTTTAGATTTGGAAGAGTCAATATTAGATATATACAGATGCATTTTGGATTTGGAAGAGTCAATATTAGATATATACAGATGCATTTTGGATTTGGAGAATGTAAAATGGATTTTGGATTTGGAGAATGTAAAATGGATTTTGGATTTGGAGAATGTAAAAAGGATTTTTGATTCGGAGAATGTAAAATGCATTTTGGATATAATGCGAAATGTAAAATGCATGTTGGATGTGAAAATATTTCATTGCAGGCGTGGTATGGAGAAGCTAATTGGAGAGGGACAATGGGTGGATAAAGTGATGACTATAGGACGTGTTGGGATGTTAGAGCTCATAAAAAGAGGGTAAATAACAAATTGATATGATTACAGTCATGTTAGAGAGTATCCCATATGAGGTTCAGGATATTGGTATTATCCCAAGGCAAATTATTATATGTCTACCAGAGAGCTTGGAAGCTGAAACGAAAGTTATGTCATGCCCGCCATTGAAATTCAACATTTTACAAACATGCTATTGAACCTCAAACATGTTGAGATTATTGAATCAAGCTATTCAACTTTTTATTAGGAGGCCCCCCGGCAGGGGCCTCCTATTAATTTTGTAGATATTATTATTAGGAGGCCCTCCTGAAAGGGCCTCCTATAGCTTTTGTAGCTTTTCTTTATTCTTATTCTTTATTCTTTATTTATTATTCTTCCAAAGCATTTTTCTCCTACTTCCAACTACCTTTCAACTACCTACTATATGATCCTACTAGTAACCTTGGCTGGAATAGGGGGGAAAATATTTTTTATCTAGGTCAAGGTCAAAGGTCAAAATCTAGGTCAAATCTAAGTTTTTTTTCAAGTTTCTCAAGTTTGTCATCATACTTCATTATTTCTTGCGATGAATTAAACTGAAACTACATTTAAGTATTCTCTACAAATTGTTCACTATATGTCAGCATTAAATTTTTACCGTTTTTGAGATATTTGACGTCAAAAAACGGTCAAAAAAGGTCATTTTTCAACTTGCTTCAATCTGACCAATTTTTTTTTTAAAAATCATCTACAAGTTCCCAGGAGTCCAAATCTGACCTCAGATTTGACCTTTGACCTTCGGTTGACCTTCAGTGACCTCCGAAAGGTCAAAAAAGTTGATTTTTCAAATTGATTTTCTGGATTCAAATTTAGGTATATCTATTCACAAAAGACCTTCTGAGGTCTAAAAAAGTAAAATTTGCAAGGTCAAAGGTCAAGGTCATCAAACGAAATCACAAACTGTGTTTTCTAAGTTTCTCAAAATTGGAGACTACAAATCAATTTTTTTTACTGAAAGTCAGAATATATATTCCTCTAAAGGCTCTACACATATTAGCAATTGACTATTTATTAAAATTTTGCTCCAGTTTTGAGATATTAGAACTCAAAAACTGAAAAATGGTCAAATTTCGAAATTTTTGAGGGTCAAATTTCAACTTGCTCTAAATTGACCAAACTTTTTTTTAAAAAGCATCTTCAAGATCTCAGGAACTCAAATCTGACCTTAGTTTTGACCTATGACCTTTAGTTGACCTTCAGTGACCTTCGAAAGGTCAGAAAAGTTGATTTTTCAAATTGAGTCTTTGGATTCAAATTTAGGTCAGTCTAATTACAAAAAGCCTATTGAGGTCTCAAAAAGTAAAAATTTCAAGGTCAAAGGTCAAGGTCATCAAATTAGGTCACAAACTGTGCTATCTAAGTTTCTCATACTTCAAGACTTCAAATCAATATTTTTAATTGAAAGTCAAGATATATTTTTCTCTCATTGACTATTTATTAAAATTTTGTCCCACTTTTGAGATATAAGAGCTCAAAAACTAAAAAAGGTCATTTTTTCAAAGTTTATAAGGTCAAATTTTAACTTCCTGCAAATTCACCCAACTTTTTTAAAAAAATCATCTTCAACTTCTCAGGAGTTCATATTTAACCTCAGATTTGACATTTGACCTTTAGTTGACCTTCAGTGACCTTTGAAATGTCAGAAAAGTTGATTTTTCAAATTGAGTTTTTGGACTCAAATTTAGGGTTGACCTAATCAAAAAAAAACTACTGAGCTCTAGAATAGTAAAATTTTCAAGGTCAAGGGTCACGGTTATCAAATTAGGTCAAAGGTCAAGATCTAGGTCAAATCTAAATTTTTTTCAAGTTACTCAACTTTGTCCTTATACTTCGTTATTTCTTGCGATGAATTAAACTGAAACTACATTTTGGTATTCTCTATAAATTCTTCACTATATGTCAGCATTAAATTTTTACCGTTTTTGAGATATTTGACGTAAAAAAAACGGTCAAAAAAGGTCATTTTTCAACTTGCTTCAATCTGACCAAATTTTTTTTATAACTCATCTACAAGTTCCCAGGAGTCCAAATCTGACCTCAGATTTGACCTTTGAACTTTAATTGACCTTCAATGACCTTCGAAAGGTAAGAAAAGTTGATTTTTTAAATTGAGTCTTTGGATTCAAATTTAGGTCAGCTTAATTACAAAAGTCCTACTGAGGTCTGAAAAAGTAAAACTTTTCAAAGTCAAAGGTCAAGATCATGAAATTAGGTCACAAACTGTGCTATCTAAGTTTCGCAAAGTTCGACTACAAACCAATATTTTTAATCCTGAGTCGAAATAAACACATTCCTCTAAGGGTTGTACACATATTAGCAATTGACTATCTAATTGAATTTTGTCCCAGTTTGAGATATAAGAGTTCAAAAGTTGAAAAAAGGTCAATTTCGAAATCTTTCAAGGTCAAATTTAAACTCGCTTCAAATTGACAAAATCTTTTTTTGAAAATCATCTACAAGTTTTCAGGAGTTCACATCTGACCTCAGATTTGATATTTGTCCTTTAGTTGACCTTCAAATTGTCAAAAATGCCTAAGAGGGCCTCCGTGAGATTGCTTGCAATCTTCAAAAGTCTAGTTTTATAGATATTCTTATTATTAGACTCCAGATGTCAATCTGGAGTCTATTGTTTTTGCCAGTATTCTTATTAGACTCCAGATGAAATCTGGAGTCTATTGTTTTCGTCATTTTTCTTTATTATTATTCTTTATTATTATTATTATACTGGAAGCCTTTTCTCGACAACCATAGGGTATCCAATTAAGATCATAATCCAGTCAATTTAGGTCCAGTATCTAGTTCCTCGGAAATTGGGTCAAATTTTTATCTAGGTCAAAGGTCAAGAACTAGGTCAAATCCAGTACTTTGTCACTTTTGTCTATTTTCTCGGTCGTCCTTCAATATTTTTGATCCGGTTTTTTTTCATTGTGTTCCTTATAAAAAAGTAGGAAAGCTAGGGTCGATTTAGTTTTTTGATATCTCAAACCGATTTCGAGATATCAGTGTCCGAAAACGAGGTCCAAAAAAAAGTTCTCCGACTCAAATATCCAGGTTATTAGTCTTATAGGAAATTTTCTCAGGATTCTGAATCTGAAAACGAAATTTGGATCAGACTTCTGGTTCTGAAGTTATGGCGTTTTGAAAGCTCAAAAATCGCTAAATTTGGAGCCCGTGTTAAGTCAATGGGAAAAAAGATTTTATTGAAGTGAAAAATACGAAATATAGACTGAGTTCAGCTAAATATAATGAAAGCTTTTAAAAGAATGGGACCTCAAAAGCCATCTAGCTTTAAAATATTGACACCAAAATGCCTAGGTCAAAATCTAGGTCAAATTCAAAGTCTTTCCTTATTTTTGCGATTCTGACACTACAGATTAATTATATTCTTCGAAAGTTTGTGTACATGTAGCCAAGAGTGTGCTTATAGTGTTAGCCTTTTGCCGTCAGAAAGTATTTTGCCCCACTTTTGAGATATGGTGTCCGAAAAGTAGGTCAAAATAAAAAATTCTCCAAATTTGATGTTTGAGTTATGAATTAAGTATAGAATTTAACGTTTGAGTTATGAATTAAGGGTAGAATTTTCTCAAGAATCCGAATCTGCAAACCAAATTTCAATCCGACTTCTGGTTCGGAAGTTATGACATTTTGAAAGCTCAAAAATCGCTAAATTTGGTGCCCCATGTTATGTCAATGGGAAAAAAGATTTTTTTGAAGTGTAAAATACAAGGTATAGACTAATTAAAGCTTAAATAATGAAAGCCTATGAAAGAAGGGGACCTCGAAGGCTACTTCACTTCAAAATTTGGACACCAAAATCCCTAGGTCAAAATCTAGGTCAAATTCATAGTTTATCCTTATTTTTGCGATTCTAACACTACACTTTAATTATATTCCTCGAAATTGTGTATACATGTAGCCTAAAGTGTACTAATAGCGTAAGCCTTTTGCCGTCAGAAAGTATTTTGACCCACTTTTGAGATATGGTGTCCGAAAAGTAGGTCAAAATAAAAAGTTCTCCAAATTTAACGTTTGAGTTATGAATTAAGAATAGAATTTTCTCAGAAAACCAAATCTACTAACCAAATTTCGATTCGACTTCCGGTTCCGAAGTTATGGCGTGTCCGAAAAGTAGGTCAAAATAAAAATTCGCCAAATTTGATGTTTGAGTTATGAATTAAGTATAGAATTTAACGTTTGAGTTATGAATTAAGGGTAGAATTTTCTCAAGAATCCGAATCTGCAAACCAAATTTCAATCCGACTTCTGGTTCGGAAGTTATGACATTTTGAAAGCTCAAAAATCGCTAAATTTGGTGCCCCATGTTATGTCAATGGGAAAAAAGATTTTTTTGAAGTGTAAAATACAAGGTATAGACTAATTAAAGCTTAAATAATGAAAGCCTATGAAAGAAGGGGACCTCGAAGGCTACTTCACTTCAAAATTTGGACACCAAAATCCCTAGGTCAAAATCTAGGTCAAATTCATAGTTTATCCTTATTTTTGCGATTCTAACACTACACTTTAATTATATTCCTCGAAATTGTGTATACATGTAGCCTAAAGTGTACTAATAGCGTAAGCCTTTTGCCGTCAGAAAGTATTTTGACCCACTTTTGAGATATGGTGTCCGAAAAGTAGGTCAAAATAAAAAGTTCTCCAAATTTAACGTTTGAGTTATGAATTAAGAATAGAATTTTCTCAGAAAACCAAATCTACTAACCAAATTTCGATTCGACTTCCGGTTCCGAAGTTATGGCGTGTCCGAAAAGTAGGTCAAAATAAAAATTCGCCAAATTTAACGTATGAGTTATGAATTAGGGGTAGAATTTTGTCAGGAATCCGAATCTGCAAATCAAATTTCAATCCGACTTCCGGTTCGGAAGTTATGGCGTTTTGAAATTTCAAGAAAAATCGATATTATGGTATCCTGATAGAAAGTCAAGAGTAGAGAAGAAAATATTGAAAAATGCATCCATCCTTCCTTATTGATCCTATCCTATCCTTCCTATCTACCCTTGCTTCGTATCCTCTCTTTCCTATCCTTCCTATTCTATCCTTCTTTCCTATTCTATCCTATCGTTCCTTCCTATTCTATCGTATCCTTCCTTCCTTTTTCATCCATCCATCCATCTTTTTTCTGGATGACTTAGCTTATTTTGGATGACTTGGCTTATTCTGGATGACTCGGCTAAAAAAAGTCTAGATCTGGAGTCTGAAATTGAACTCGTTCAATTTCCAAAATCTAGTTATTATTATTATTCTTATTATTCCGTAGCCGTTTTTTCAGAAACTATAAGGTATCCAGTAAAGACCATTATACAGTTTATTTAGGTTCAGTATCTAGTTCCTCGGAAATTGGGTCAAATTTTTATCTAGGTCAAAGGTCAAGAACTAGGTCAAATCCAGTACTTTGTCACTTTTTTCGATTTTCTCGGTCGTCCTTCAATATTTTTGATCCGGGTTTTTTTCATTGTGTTCCTCATAAAAAAGTAGAAAAGCTTGGGTCGATTTAGTTTTTTGGTATCTCCAACCGATTTCGAGATATCAGTGTCTGAAAACGAGGTCCAAAAAAAAGTTCTCCGAATCCAATGTCAAGGATATCAGTCTTATAGGAAATTTTCTCAGGATTCCGAATCTGAAAACCAAATTCCGATCTGACTTCCGGTTCAGAAGTTATGGCGTTTTGAAAATTCAAAAATCGCTAAATTTGGTGCCCCATGTTAATTCAATGGGAAAAAATATTTTTTTGAAGTGTAAAATACGAGATATAGACTAAGCACAGCTAAACATAATGGAAGCCCATCAAAGAAAGGGACCTCAAGACCTTCTTTTCATAAAAATTTGGACACCAAAATGCCTAGGTCAAAATCTAGGTCAAATTCATAGGTTTTCCTTATTTTTTCGATTCTGACACTACACTTCAATAATTTACTTCAAAATTTTTTGTACAGATAGGAAAGAGTGTGTTAATAGTGTGAGCCTTTTTCTGTCAGAAAGTATTTTGACCCACTTTTGAGATATGGTGTCCGAAAAGTAGGTCAAAATAAAAAATTCTCTAAATTTAACGTATGAGTTATGAATTAAGGGTAGAACTTTCTCAGGAATCCGAATCTGCAAACCAAATTTCGATCCGACTTCCGATTTCAAAGTTATGGCGTGTCCAAAAAGTAGGTCAAAACAAAAATTCGCCAAATTTAACGTATGAGTTATGAATTAGGGGTAGAATTTTGTCAGGAATCCGAATCTTTAAATCGAATTTTGATCCGACTTCCGGTTCGGAAGTTATGGCGTTTTGAAATTTCGGAAAATTGATCTTATGGTATCCTGATAGAAAGTCAAGAGTAGAGAAGAAAATGTTCCTTCCTATCCTTCCTTTCCTCTCCTATCATATCCTTTCTTCCTATTCTGTTCTATCCTATCCTTCTTTCTTATTCTATCCTATCGTTCCTTCCTATTCTGTCCTATCCTAGCTTCCTATTTTATCGATCCATCTTTTTCTGAATGACTCAGCTTATTCTAGATGACTCGGCTTATTCTGGATGACTAGGCTTATTCCATCCACCCATCCATCTTTTTCTGGATGACTCAGCTTATTTTTGATGAGTCAGCTTATTCTCGATGACTCGGCTTATTCTGTATGACTGGGCTAAAAAAAAGTCTAGATCTGGAGTCTGAAATTGAACTTCGTTCAATTTCCAAAGTCTAGTTATTTATTCTTCCTAAACCTTTTTCTCCTACTTCCAACTACCTTTCAACTATCTACTATATGCACCTACTAGGGACCTTGGCTAAACTTGGCGGGAAAGGAATTTTTATCTAGGTCAAGGTCAAAGGTCAAAATCAAGGTCAAATCTAAGTTTTTTTCAAGTTTCTCAAATCCTGACACTACACTTCAATATTTTTGGCTGAATTTTTGCATACAGATAGATATTAGTATTCTATTAGTCTTAGCCTTTTGCCGTCTAGAGAAATTTTGCCTAGATTTTGAGATATTGAAGGTCAAAAAAAGGTCAAAAAAGGCCTTTTTTGAACTTGCTTCAAATTGACCAAATTTTTTTTTCAAACTCATCTACAAGTTGTCAGGATTCTAAATCTGACCTTACTTTTGACCTTTGACCTTTGGTTGACCTTCAGTCACCTCAGAAAGGTCAAAAAAGTTGATTTTTCAAATCGATTTTCTGGATTCAAATTTAGGTATATTTATTCACAAAAGACCTACTGAGGTCTAAAAAAGTAAAATTTGCAAGGTCAAAGGTCAAGGTCATCAAACGAAATCACAAACTGTGTTTTCTAAGTTTCTCAAAATTGGAGACTACAAATCAATTTTTTTTACTGAAAGTCAGAATATATATTCTTCTAAAGGTTCTACACATATTAGCAATTGACTATTTATTAAAATTTTGCTCCAGTTTTGAGATATTAGAACTCAAAAACTGAAAAAAGGTCAAATTTCGAAATTTTTCAAGGTCAAATTTCAACTTGCTCTAAATTGACCAAACTTTTTTTTAAAAAGCATCTACAAGATCTCATGAACTCAAATCTGACCTTAGTTTTGACCTATGACCTTTAGTTGACCTTCAGTGACCTTCGAAAGGTCAAAAAAGTTGATTTTTCAAATTGATTTTCTTGATTCAAATTTAAGTTTATTCAATCAGAAAAGATATACTGAGGTCTTAAAATGTAAAATTTTCAAGGTCAAAGGTCAAGGTCATCAAACAAGATCACAAACTGTGTTTTCTAAGTTTCTCAAAGTTTGTGACTACAAATCAATATTTTTGAATTAAAGTCAGGATATATATTCCTCTAAAGGTTTTACACATATTAACAATTGATTATTTATTAAAATTCTGCACCAGTTTTGAGATATTGGACCTCAAAAACTGAAAAAGGTCTAATGTTGAAATTTTTCAAGGTCAAATTTCACATTGCTTCAAACTGACCAAACTTTTTTTTAAATCATCTACAAGATGCCTGGAGTTCATATATGACCTTGTATTTAAGATTTGACCTTTGGCTGACCTTTAAATGTTCAAAAAAGCCTACGGGGCCTCCGTAAGATTGCTTGCAATCTTATACATCTAGTTATTCTTTATTCTTTATTTATTCTTCCCGGGACCTTTTCTCCTACTTCCAACTAGCTTTCAACTAGCTCTTACATAGTCATACTAAGGACCTCGGCTGAACTTGGCGGGAAAGGAATTCTTATCTAGGTCAAGGTCAAAGTTCAAAATCTAGGTCAAATCTAAGTTTTTTTCAAGTTTTTCAAATCCTGACACTACACTTCAATATTTTTGGCTGAATTTTTGCATACAGATAGATATTAGTATTCTATTAGTCTTAGCCTTTTGCCGTCTAGAGAAATTTTGCCTAGATTTTGAGATATTGAAGGTCAAAAAAGGTCAAAAAAGGTCTTTTTTCAACTTGCTTCAAATTGACCAAATTTTTTTTTAAAACTCATCTACAAATTCTCAGCATTCCAAATCTGAACTATTTATTAAAATTTTGCTCCAGTTTTGAGATATTAGAACTCAAAAACTGAAAAAAGGTCAAATTTCGAAATTTTTCAAGGTCAAATTTCAACTTGCTCTAAATTGACCAAACTTTTTTTTAAAAAGCATCTACAAGATCTCAGGAACTCAAATCTGACCTTAGTTTTGACCTATGACCTTTAGTTGACCTTCAGTGACCAGCGAAAGGTCAAAAAAGTTGATTTTTCAAATTGATTTTCTGGATTCAAATTTAGGTTTATTCAATCAAAAAAGATATACTGAGGTCTAAAAAAGTAAAATTTTCAAGGTCAAAGGTCAAGGTCATCAAACAAGATCACAAACTGTGTTTTCTAAGTTTCTCAAAGTCTGTGACTACAAATCAATATTTTGAATTAAAGTCAGGATATATATTTTTCTAAAGGTTTTACACATATGAACAATTGATTATCTATTAAAATTCTGCACCAGTTTTGAGATATTGGGCCTCAAAAACTGAAAAAGGTCTAATGTTGAAATTTTTCAAGGTCAAATTTCACATTGCTTCAAATTGACCAAACTTTTTTTTAAAAATCATCTACAAGATGCCTGGAGTTCATATATGACCTTTGATTTGAGATGTAACCTTTGGCTGACCTTCAAATTGCCAAAAACGCCTACAGGGCCTCCGTAAGATTGCTTGCAATCTTAAAAGTCTAGTTATTGTTATATAAGTTTGGGATTGAATTCCCATGGACTTTCAAGTCTAAATGGCAAAATTAAATTAAAAAGTTGTCCAACAATATGCTTTCTTGTAGGTAAAATATTTGAAGAAAACTTTCCAGTCTAATTACTAAACAAATATAAATTGAACAATAAATAGCATTGGATGTATATTTTTTCAGTCTGAATACTTGGAGGATGGATGTTCAGGGAACTTTACCTAAAGATCTTGATAATAGAGGGGTAAGTAACATATTAAAGCAAAACGTGTGTATGTTAATTGCATTGATAACATTATATAACATAAATCTTGTTGTCAAAAATTCCAGGAAAACCACTTCGTATTTTTGTTTCCTTAAAATTATCACAGATGCAAAAGCAGATTAAGTCCCAAAATCTGATTAAGTATAAGGTACATGTAAATTAAATTTAAGGTAAATTAGTATATGGTGGGCATTTTCCTCTTAAACATGCAATATTTATCACTCCGTGTCATGTTTTTTTGTAGGTTTTAGACCCCAAGGTGCTACCCAACTATTATTTTAGGGAAGATGCAATGCTGTTACACAAAGCCATCACAACATATGTCAAGAAAATAGTCTCACATTACTATGGTAAGAAAATAGTCTCAAATTACTTAATAAATAGTCCCATACACTACTATGGTAAGAAAATAGTCTCAAATTAATATGGTTAGAAAATAGTATCACTTTGCTGTGGTAAGAATAGCTCCAAATTATTATAGTACAATAATAGTCCCATATTACTGTGGTAAGGAAATAGCCTCAAAGTACTATGGCAAGAAAAAGTCCCACATTACTGCGTTTCTATGTTACAAAAATAACCCCACATTACAATGATATGAAAGTAGTCTTAAATTATATGGGAATACAAAATTTTCTAAAAAGATATTTATTTTATTTTAGACATTCCAGAGAAAATAGCTGAGGATACAGAGCTCCAGGAGTGGGGTGAAGAACTAGCTAGACCCAAGAGAGAGGGAGGTCTCGGTTTGAAGGTGAATATGTAATACAATACAAATACATTAAAACCTATCTTAGTGAACACCTGTCTCTCCTACTCTACTGACTTCTGTATAAATAACCCTCTCTGTAATAGACTAAAACTACAGTGAACACATTTTTGTGGTTCCATAGGTCTTCACTGTATGCAGGTTTTTCTGTAATGGTGAAATCCTCATTGATTTGCTTGATGCATTTCCATTGCATGTTTGGTATTACTTTATTTGTATGGACCCTTCTGTAATGGTGTACCCTTTGCATTCGTTCGACTTCACTTCTTAAAATAAAGCTTCATCTTCACTCTTTCAGTTTACAATAAATCTCTGATCTCACCGAGACAATCAGAGTTCATCGTCGAAATACGGATGACTTTCTATGTGGTCATTTCCTCTTACATCACCGCATAGTTAATGAGCATGTATTTAGCACGTGTTCCTTCCACTTCACTGATTGGTTGAGAAAGGGTCAGCATGGTAGATTTGCTAAACTGTAATATAGTCTATTCTAGGCAGAGGGTGGTTTATAACTTGACTCTGCGCGCAGGGTAGTAATGATGAAAATGCGATCAAAGGGTTCTGTGTGATCATATATATTCTTATAATCAAATAATCTGAATTAAAAAATGACTGCCTGAATTTTTCATATTTACAGGGTGTTCCAAACAATGGAAAATTTGAGACGATAGAAGACTTAATGTGTGTGTTCACTTGTATAATCTACATGTGCAGTGTCGCCCATGCTGCTTCTAACTTTTCGCAATACGACGAGTATGCATTCCCGCCAAATTATCCAGCATACATCAGTGGTACACCCCCAACTGATAAGGTGAGAAATGAAAGTTATATACTAAGTTAGAAATTTTATGGTTTGAGAGCAATAATTTAGAATGTTTGGAGAATACAACATGGAATTTTTAGAGCAATTTTGGGTCTTGTTTATATATATTACAAAGGTCCCATGCAATAAATGTCCACAATATTTTAAGATGTGGACACTAAATAAAGGATATTATGTCTAAGAGTAAACAAATACTGGATGATCAGGAGCTGGATATGGCAGAATACCTATTCAAGAAAAAATATTGGGCGAGGCAGTAGAGCCAATCATATTGCAGTATCTAAACGAGGTGCGGAATAATAATAAATATCCCCTATATTTTAGACACCTCTGTCTGAAGAGGACATAGTGGCAGCTTTACCAGACAAACAGCATACCCTGGATATCATGACAGTGACAAAGGTCCTCAGTAGCAAAGGGACTAATTCTCTGGGGCACTTCGAAACACAATTTCAATATGATACAGCTGCAAGAAAAGCTGAGGAAGAGTAAGTGGTATAACAAGATAAAAAATAAAAATCAGTATTTATCATGTCTCCATCAAAAGTAGTGACTTGTTATGGTCTCCAACTTTTTGTGACTGCGTTCGACAGTTGGCTACGGCTTTTGGGGTCTGTAACAAATGGCAGGTAGTAACATTTTCAATGTTAATGCTGTTTTTACAGTTATTACACAAGTATAACAACACACTTATAAAGTACATGTATTAATAATTCGAAATATAAACAAAATCTTTTCTTTATTTCAGTTTCAAGATTGAATTAAAGAAGATCAGTGAAATGATAAGAGAGAAGAACAATTCTAGAAGTCCTAGGTACATGTACCTTGATCCTGAACAAGTCCCTAACTCAATTAGTATATGATGTGGCATTCCCTACGCAAGGTCGAGAATTGATGTGACAACCCCTGTATAAGGTCAAGAATTGATGTGGCAACCCCTGTAAAGGGTCAAGAATTGATGAAGAATTGATCCCTTTAGACAGTATCACTTAAGCCAGGTTCTTTTTAGACAGGATCCCTTTCGACAGGATCACTAAAGCTAGGTTCTTTTTAGACAGGATCCCTTTCGACAGGATCACTAAAGCTAGGTTCTTTTTAGACAGGATCCCTTTCGACAGGATCACTAAAGCTAGGTTCTTTTTAGACAGGATCCCTTTAGACAGGATCCCTTTTGACAGGATTCCTTTAGACAGGTTCATTTAAGACAGGTTCATTTTAGACAGGAGCCCTTTAGACAGGATCACTTTAGCAAAGGTTCTTTTTAGACAGGTTTTACAGCATAATTGATACATTCAATCTGAGATAGGCACGTTAATAGATTACTAGTATCATACTGTAAATATTGTAGTATATAAAGCAGTGCCAAATATCCTTGTTATGCTAGCTGTGAATATTTATTTTTTGAAAAGTCAATGTTTTTTGTTAAAAGTCAATGTTTATGTAACATAGTTTTATCACAAAGTATTTGTTTATGATATAGAGAATTTTAGCAACATATAACCTTAAAAGATAGGAAATAGTCTACAGACTAAGAGATGTGTTTAAAATGATGTATGAATGATGACGTAGCCAGCTTTTGTCAAGGGGGGTTCACTTTTCAAAAAAAATATAAGGGGTTCACTTTGACAAATTTGGCAAAAAATTACATCAGAAATGTTCAGAATGGTGCAAATCACTTTTCAAAAAAATATAGGGGTTCACTTTGACAAATTTGGCAAACAATTACATCAGAAATGTTCAGAATGGTGCAAAACTGCACAATTTTGAAAGAATCTTTGGACCCCCAAGGCTATGGGCCTGATGTGTAAAAATATGCCAGGATGCATCCTCCATACACAGGCCTCCAGAACTCGTACCTCATACCAGGAAGGGAAAGAACATAGTGGATGATACACCGAAGGAAAGGCTACACATTTTATGAGTGAATGTATGAACTTAGAGAACTTAGAGTTTTTTGTTATTTATAGAATTTATTTCACTTTACATATTTAAACATTAACTCTTGTAGCGGCATTGCTATAGCATTATCAGCCACTTGAAATGATTTGTTAAATTCTGAAACACATGTACTGTACTTACTGAAAGATGGGACAACAGAAAACTAAATCATTCAACGAGAAATCAAAGCTATCAGTTGAACATGAGTATAATGATTTTAAACATGTTCAATAACGATATAAACATTCCAATATAATCCAGAGAAAAACCAAATATTGCAGTTTCATAAATATCACAGTCAACATTGATTATGGAAACAGATTAGTGGATGTTCATGTTCAGTTGGTTGGTGAGGCCAAAAATATAGCAGGTGAGGTTAATTGAGGCTAAAGGAGATAATTTCTACATTAAGATTTAGTAGAAAGAAACATTTTTTTTATAATTTTAATACATGATACAAATAACTAACTAGTTGAAAGAAGTATATATTTCAAAATATATTTCAGTAAAATTTTGGTGAGGTTGCCTCAGGCCCATTGACATTTTTGATTTGACCTGACCTACCATAAGTATTTTGGGTCATAGTTATCAATTTCATTCAATTCACTTAAATGGTTTTTCAATTTTTTTAGACATAAGAGTTCACAATGACATGATTTGTATGAATTAAATAAACATATTTTTAGTTGAGGTATCATATATATGTATATCCTGTTCTCTTCAAGCTTTATTTTTGTATGTGATAATGTATGAGTCCACAGCTGTACCAAAAACAGCCCTTGTATTATATTAAGGATGGTGTTCAAAAGTAAACAATCTTGAGAAAGTGAGGCTGGTCTCATTTTGATTCAGCCCATGCCCATTTTCCTATAACAATAGATTAAAATGCTGAGGTATGCACATTTCCATAGTTTAAACTTACATTATGTAAACAATCGAGAGAAAACTTGGCTGAACTCATTTTGATTCAGCCCATACCCATTTTCCTATAATGAAAGATTAAAATGTTGCTTTACAAAGGAGTCTTTACCCAAGCCCCATTTTTCAGTTAGACACCATCCTTAAAGGAACTGTTTTTAAGAGTTTTAGTCAAATGACATGTCTCAAAACTCAAAATATGTATATAGTATAAGCCAGCTTTAGGTGCTATAGTTCATGTATTAAAAGATGTATAGTCATAGACAATTATCAATTATTTAGGTGCTCTATCATTAGTACCAGACTTTCCTGTAATGACCCATGGGCATTTAATTAAAACTAAGGCCTTATTTCTGGTATTTCCGTGTTATAAACACCCATGGGCGTTATTTTGAAGATACTTTAGCAGTAACACCCATGAGTGATGTAACGAAGGGGCATCACTTTGAGAAAATCCGTTACGTATTTTAGGTGCAATAAATTTCACTGCCATGAAACCTAAAGGAGGGTCTGGGATTATGACTATTAAACAGGAATGTTTGTACCTGAAAACGGAATCTAAGCCTACACCCCTTCATGTGTTTCGCAACTGGACGTTTTCATTGGATAATATCACATCAAAACTGGTCCAGTTTGAATCCCATTTCCACAATTGCCGTAGAGATTTTTGATGAATTTTTTTAATCACCAAACATAATCAATGTGATCCAATGGGGGGGGTTCCAGTTGCCAAACTTATGGAGAGGAGTGTATCCGTCAAATGTGAGTTCAATGAGGTTATTACCAAAAGTGTTTGTGATGTAAGATCCATGATTTGATTGTTGTAACCATGGAAATGATGATGTAATAATAAAAGAACAATAGACTAAAGTAGCTGTCACATTAGCTGTGTGGTCCCACCATTCACCACAGTGTGGCTATTGTGGGCATTGATTTTTTAATTAATAAATTAATTTATGTATAATGATCTGATGGGGGATATCTTGCCGTAAAACTATTTGTTTTGCTAACTGTATCCGTTTGGTACCCCACCATCTGCCCCGAAGTATTCACACGGTGATGAATGGTCAGCCCATAAGGCCTTAATGTGACAGCTCAATTCAAAGCTTTTCATGATGAATCTTATATGATTCGTGCTTATTGGTTTACCATAAAGCATGTTTTTAAAACATTTTAAATACTGTCAGCCAAACTCAAGTATACATTTTTGGTGGTGCTTGCATGGAACAAAATTAGGAACTTTCCTTCAGAATTTAGTAACTCAGATGCTATCATATTTAGGCCTGTAGTCAGCTTTTGCTAAAGGTGGTTCACTTTTCAAAAAATCCCAGGGGTTCACATTTGACAACTTTCACAAAATCACATGAAAAGTGCTCAGAATGGTGAAAAATGCATGATTTTGAAAGAATCTTTGACCAATCTTGGCTACGGGCCTGATGCAAATTTAGTTATTCACCAGGAGGATTTTGATATGGGGAATATCACAAGGACGATATCAATATTGATATCATCCGAGGAATATTACCCATATCATCCCTGCAGGAGAAAACAACCATGGTCAAGGGCTTTATCTATATGGGCTGAGGCAGGTATCTTTTCTGAAGGTAAAGTGAAAACCTTCGGCCAATGCAAATAAGGTCCATCAGGCCCGTAGCCAGGATTTGCCAAGGGGGTTCAGTTTTCATAAATTTCCAGGGGGGTTCACATTTTACAATTTTGACCCAAATATGGCTAAAATTACTTAAGAAGTGCTCAAAATGGTGAAAAACTGCATGATTTTGAAATAATTTTTGGCCAGGGGGGGGGTTCGCCCGAACCCTGCGAATTACCCCCTCCCCTGGCTACGGGCCTGTCCATGCCAACCCTGTGAGTGAGGCAAAGGTTTTGATTCTTAGTTATATGCAGTTCTGTTTTTATTATATAATTTATGCATGTAAAAATAGCTTTGTATAATTAATATGGAAATAAACAGAAAAATAAACAGAAAAAGGTACTTATATTTTAAAGTCAATGGTTTTGACTGTGCATCAGATTTGTCTCTTTCGTGTGAAGGAAAGCCCCAGAGCATAGGAGATGACAGACATAATGACTTCTCTTGCTTACCACCTTTGTTTGTTCAAATTTTCACTGGCTAGTTTCCATTGTTTTAATCGATATTAGATGTGAAATAACAAACTGTGATGTTTGTCTTAACAGGTTTACGACAATAGATCATGGCGTATATGTGGTAGACATATGTCATCTCTGGCGTTAGGGGATGGTTGCATTTTCCTTTTTTTCGTTCGACTTAATGATTTAAGTCGTTCAAAAGTAAATCCACAAAAAAGTTGGAGACGTTACAGTCAACCAACCGCCAATCATTTATCTGAATTATAATCTCTATGTAATTGTATTGTACTATTTTTGATCAGTGAATTTCATCAACATACTGATCAATGTTCGTAGCTTTATACTTCATATAAGCACGTAGATTTGTTAATACGTGATCAGAACAATAGGAATATATCTAGTATAATATTTTGTAATATGATTATTTGAAGTTTCTTCCGGTATTTAATTAATATATCGATTTTACATTACTATTGTTTCCCATTCAAATTTTAATCGTGGTTCTATGGTTATGCCATTATAATGAGATGATTCATTCTTATTCTTCCATACTCATGGTATACATCTGTGAAAGGGCTTGTATCGAACGGAATTTGGAACTTGCCTTCAGAATTCAGAACCTCGGACTACTTTGCCAAAGGGGGTTCAATTTTCATAAAATTTAAAAGTGGTCCCAAAATCACTTGAAAGTGCTCTGAAGGGTGAAAACTGCATGATTTTCAAAAAGAATACTTCCAACCCTCTCTACACTGAACCTACCCTTTGCCCCCCCCCCCCCTTGCATTCGTTCGACTTCGTCTTCATAGTTTGCATCTCTGCGTGCAGGGTACTACAGGCCTGATTCAGAGCAGTTGGTTTATTCAAAAAGTTCCTTGATTTTTAAAATCGAAGAATCGATTATTTAAAATGTAATCGCCTGTACAAACTAACTACAATATTTGTAGATACTTATTGATTTTCTTCTATTGTGACCTGGCAAATATTATTTCCAGAAAACGATTAATTC